AATATATAAAAACATTACAGTTTATATCAGCACAATCCAAACCATTTTCCCTGAAAAATTCTTTTTTAGAAAACACTCTCTTTTTTAAAAATTTTTTTCAATGTAGTATGAATACTACAATTAGTAATTACTAGCACAAACAGCCACCCATAGAGCAGGTTTCTTCTAGTTATTTATAATCTTAATAAACAACTTTAATAGACACAGAGTCAGTTACAATCTCTTCCATCTGCAGACATCTCTTGTTTCATAATATGTACCAATAAGGTTCTGGCTAAAGATTTTTGAAATATGATAAATCTATAGACATATATGAAAGATGCATTAGTAGCTACTTTAAATATTCATTGTGAAATTGTTAATCCCTATGTCTACAACATAAATGTTGCCTTACTGTTGTATTCTCAACTATATGACCCTGTTTATGTTACTATATACACAGGTAAAGTTGGCACTATCAGACTCCACTAGCAATATTATAGATATGCATGCTATTTGAACTGGAATAGCAGTGATAATTTACTAAGTTTTATAAACTAAACCTCACACTGTGCATTAAGATTGCACCTGCCCATAGTGCTCTTATAATATATTTGTAACATCTCATTCATTTATGATGATATTTCAATAAAATTGAGTAATCTAACTCTAATGCAACTACTTTTGAAATCTAATAATAAATAAGTGCTGAAATTTCAATCCTTTTTTTTAAAAAAAAACGTAGTAATTGACCTAAGGATTAACAATATAATATTAAATGGCTCAGAATTCTTTAGATTTCTTTGATAGTATTAAAGCTATAATACAACATATGGAAAAACCTTAATTCTGGAAAATAAAGTGATAATAAATTTCAATTTTCACATAATAATTTATTCATATTTCCATTTTTTATGACCATAAAATAATTCTGAAGCAACATATTAAGTTTTTTTATGTGTCATACTATAACTTTAATATCATACTATTACTTGACATTCATTTTGGGATAGCTCTAAGATAGCTATCATAATCTTGTAAATAGTACATTTAGATGCTGCCTTTAGAAAATAATTACATTTAAATTTCACCATTTATTTATTATTAAATTTAAAAAATAGTTGTACCAGATGAATGTTTAGACTTTTTCATTTTTCCATCACTTTGATTGAGATAGCATCATAAATGAATAATATATTGCAAAAACATTGTGAATATGCCCTTAAACTACAAATATAAAGTTCTTAGTAAAATATTTATTGTATTAATTCAACTGAACACTGAAACCAAATGTATAAGGTAAATAAAGTACCAAAAGGAATAAATGTTTGGAACATGATCCCCTACTCTGTTTCATACTTACTTGCTACTTTGATAAATTGTTTAATGATTTTCATCCTTCGTATGGGGTTAGGTTCACTACAGACTTCAGTCACTACCCAGAACATTTCCTTATTAACAAGCTAAATAAATCAAGTTGAAAGGAATGAGGAACATCCATTAAAACAACTGTAATATACATAGCATAGCTAATAACTTTAAAAATTATATCTGAGATTGTACTTTTTCTTCTTGTCAATCCTATTTTCATTGTGAATTGTTCATTTTACTTCAATTAACAGTCATAAAAAAAAACACTATCCACCACTATTATGACAACAAGCAACATTGGTAACTACTTCTTTTATATTCCTTATAAAAAACATTTATAATAAGTTACTGAAGGCATCAAATCAATATATTAATTATTTTAAGGATGATCAATTTTAACTATATCAATAAACTATAAAGATTTCTACTAATAATATATTTTAGAACAAAAAATATTTTAATACCTTAGGGTTTCCATACATATTACAGCATGTAAGGTGTTTCTTAATCTCAAAAATTATACTAGTTATACTTTTCAATATCTTATTGTTATCATTAACTACTTCACAATTTTTGAAATGGTGAAATCTTTTAAGCATTTTAAACTTAATCACTTTTAGTTGAAGAAAAATATTAAAAATATAATTTTGCATAAGTAATACTACTTATTTGGATTTTTACTACCATTTTACTAAAAAAATATTCTATGTCAATGTGGAAAATTTTGGCTCCTTGTAGTTACCTTTGTGAACTTTGAAAGCATAGGTGTTCCATACTTAGAGTTATTTTCAAATAGATCTTCAATGTATTCAGTAGGTTCAATATGACAAAAGATGTTGAAGTCTTCCAAAGTGAGTTGAATAGCTATTTCCACACTGTTTAACTGGAGAAAGTTAACCTGGCTTTCTCTCATGAGTTCCTGTGTCATCATACAATGGAAGATTACTAAATATTTATTGCGATTCTTTAAGTGTGTACATATGTGTGTATTGTATATATAAAACACATTTGTTCTTTGTAATGAAAGCCCTAAGTTTAAGAATAAAAAACTCACACCCAGTAGTTTAAAAGAATAATAATAAAATATTTTATTACAATTAGGCATTATAAATATATATTTTGGAAGTACTTATAAACAGCTTACTCCTGCCAAATCATCAGGTACAAGAGCTTCAGTTGAAGAATTGTTTTTTAAATAGTAGCGGCTGCTGAGTCCAATACGTTCAGCCAAATTGTGCATCTGGTCTGCTAACCTGCGCTGTTTAACAACACCCCCTTCTCCACAAGTCACTTCACACAGTGAGTAATTGCTGAAAAAAAACAAAAAAAACAGAAGTAATAAATAAAGGAACAATTCTTAGTATCCCAGTTAAAAACAAATATATTACCATATTTATAACTCAACTGAAAACATAATGCCAATCAAATACCACTAATAACAATGAATGTACCATTGTTAAACAGTGAATGTATGCAACATTATGTCCCAAAAAAGCATCATGTTTGTCAACTGCTGCTTGACAGTGAATACGTGTAACACTGCGCCTCAAAAAAGCATGATGTTTGTCAGATGCTTGTTGACAATGAATGTATTATTGTTAGAAACTGAACTTGGTGAGCTCTTGGATCCCAAAGAAGAAACTATGTCAGTCAGATACGAGTTAACAGTGAATATTTAAGATACTAACTGCTGTAAAGTTCAAGATTTCTTAAGCAGAACATCAGTTAAATTTATTAATTTTTACCTGCTAGGACCTGTAATTCCAAATTCTCGAAGTGACAACATCACTACTTCTCTTGCAGTAGTCTCCTGTAAGAAACAAAATTATTAGACAATCAGTATAGTTTGAGAACTTGAGCCATTCCTTACCTAGAAGTGGTAAAAATTCAAATATTTAAAAAAAAGAAAATGAATGTAAATAAGATACATTGAGATGATTTTGATAAAACCTTTCTGCTTTCTAGAATGGTTTTATTGTAAACCAGCTGATGTACCCATCCTTTGTCTGGGTTATGAACATAAAAAACTGTGGGGGTGGATGTTATGATAAATAACACAAAAATCCTAACTTTCACACAATTTATTTATAACTTGTTTGTTTTGTTTTGAATTTTGTGCAAAGCTATACGAGGGCTATATGCGCTAGCCATCCCTAATTTAGAAGTGTAAGACTAGAGGGAAGGCAGCTAGTCATCACCACCCACCACCAACTCTCGGGGCTAATCTTTAGTACGAATAGTAGGATTGACCGTCACATAATAATGGCCCCATGGCTGAAAGGGCGAGCATGTTTGGTGGGAGGGGGATTAGAACCCGTGACCCTCAGATTGTGAGTTAAGCACCCTAACCATCTGGCCATGCCGGGCCTTACTTATAACATAACATATTATTACAATATTCATTATTACCTCACCAAAGGTTTTGTATAAGTTTTAAGAACTCACTACTTAAAACATGGTCTACACTGTTAGATGGATAGGGAGACTTTGTAGGAAGAGGTAGTGGACAAAGTAGTGGCAGTAGGGGTGCTTTCTGTTAACCACTTTCAACACTCAACTTTTATTGTCCTTCCACACTGTTTCACATTATTAATTAATTGACAGTCGTTGGTTGCAAAAGTGTATTAACGGATGAAGTTGTAAAGTCAAGTGTCAAAGTAGGAAGTGGGTAAACTCAAGAAACGACTCTTCATATCAGTGTTATAGTATCAACTACATCTGAGTTTATGTATTAATGCAATAGTGGCATCCATTTATTTTTATTGCATTCCTCCATAGAGTGTGCTGGCACACTCTCTGCAGAATACAAGACATTTGTGTGCCCTCCCACCACACTGTGTATGTGTTGTGGTACAGAAAAGTTAAAAAATGTTTGTGTGTAAGGATGTGGCACCATCTATGTATGTAGGTAACTTACATCATACATTAATAAATGCTCAATAACAGCAATAATGGAGGGTGGAGAAGGTTGTTAACTCCCAATAACATGCCCCTTGTTTCAAACTATTGTCCCACAAAGTTAGTTTGAGACTGGCCCAGTGACCTAGGAGTAGTTAGATAATGGACAAACAGACAAACACACAGATTTTTATTTTTTATGTAGTAGCTCATCTTGAAACTTTTAACTAGTATAACACTATAAAATATGTATATATATATATATATATATATATAGTGTGTGTGTGTGTGTGTGTGTGTGTGTGTGTGTGTGTGTATATATATATATATATATAAAGTACATACACTCTGTCGTACGTACCGTACTCCGTCCGTCCGTTCGGACCGTACGAGACAAAGTAAAAGTAAAACGAACTTAACTTTCTTAACGTCCTACCCT